GTGCTCAAGTGGCCATAAAGAAGAGATGAAGGACAGATGCGGAGTTACTACTTTAAGGATTACTCATTCATAAACATTTTTATGAATAACACAGCTGAAGTCACCCAAAGGCAAGTCACTGTAACAGATTGCTGGGCCTGATTATATGCAAAGTAATTAGTAGATTATGATGCATTCCTGAAAAGAACTTGAGCTTGATTTAGAAGGTCTAGTGATAGGTATATAGTAGACTTTACCATTCTCAGATTAATGCCACAGCCTATCAGTGAATTTACTTTCTTTCTTTCTGACCAACTTACCTTAGACTGGATTTGTGAACTGTGAATATATAAGCAAAGAACAAAGAAAGAAAAAGAAGTAAGACAGACCAAAAAAGTAAAAGAGTTAGCCCACCCAATGAGGCTTCTACAACAGAAAAACTAATTGGTATACTTCCTTTTATTCCTCATATATGTTAAGTTTGTTCTTGCCTTTGGACTTTACCTTCACTGTTCTCTCTGCCCATTTCTGACTCCTTCTCATCTTTCATGTACCAGCCCAAATGATTCCCACAGAGGCCTTCCCTGATGACACTTCCTAAGTAGTGCCTCAAGCAACTCTCTCCCTAACTCCCCAGCCCATCATCCTGTGTATTTCCCTGTCACTGTCAGAAGTTTGCTCTTTTACTATCTACCATTAACATGCAAACTTAACTGAAAAAGGGGAACTTCTCTATTTTGTTCACCACTATATCCAGGCATCTAGAAATATTTGCTGAATACATGAATGGAAAACAGGTAGGAAATTATTAGGAGAGTGCCAGTGACTTTGGAGAGGATCCAAAATGGAAGTCATGGGAATCACTTGTGCCAAGTTCCATGATTACCTTGAAAAGAGAAGGGGAAATTAAGAGCAAAGTTGGAAAAAAGAAAAAAGGAATAAATAAGAGTCTAATAGAGAAGGAAAAAAGCCCCATTTCAAATCTAAGGCACTGTTTCATGTTGTAGACTCTGGGTCTGGAGTTCTCTCTTGTCCAGCAAGAGAGCAGGACTCAGGATTAGAATGCCAAGAGAGGCTAATGTCCGGGAGGAAACAAGAGCCCTGAGTAGGGGTCCTTGCTCCATTTTAACTAAGATCAGAAGGCTTACAAACGTGATGGGTGTGAACAAAGAGACAATGAAATCTTGAACATTAATTTATGGGCATGGGGGAATGGGGGTTTTAAAGATATGTGGTGTTAGGGGTTTGAGTCAACATAAAACAAAATTCTGGCGCCAGGCAGAAGGTTATTTACAGTGGACAAGAAAGACAGAGGATGCTACCTCAGGGTCAACAAGGCACCTTTCTTCTGCTAATTAGCTCTGCTCTGAGGTCTATAGACCTGTTTACCTATTTTGGTCCTTCCTTCCCGTGAAAGCAGCTTTCTGCTATTATACTAAATTGGGGGGCATTTTTGCCCTGAATACCTAATCTTGTTTACCTCATCTTGGATGTTTTCATCCTGAGATTTCCTATTCCTATGCCTTTGTCCAATATTGGGGGCCTTTGCCCCATACCTAATCTTATTTACCTCATCTTGTTTACCCAAACGTGGGTGTACATCCTATGGCTAACTCTTTATGCCTTGTTAACCCATCCGTGCAAGCTCATGGAATTCCTAAGCTTATTCCCCAGTTTCACTTACTGACGACTACGTAGGGGTACTGCTAGCTTAGATGAAATTTATCTCATCCAGCCAATATTTGCTCAACTGCATCGGATTCTCCTTACTATCATACTATAATAGAATAAGGGAATTACAATCTTGGTGTAATTTCAATTGATTCTTACATTCGTACATTTAAACTGTACATCTTTTCATTCTTTAACAGGTATATATACTCTTTTTGTAGCCATGCTCTTCTTAACTTGGATGTTGGAAATAAATGTCCTCTACTTCTAAAACTCAATTAAAATTCAGTTATCAAAGCAGTTGCGCCCTAACATTAATTACTATGCACTATTAGTATATTTTAATAGCCATATCACTACACTCAAGACTGAACGGGGAGCTGTTTTCAACCCTAACTATATGTACTAAAAATGTTTAGATATGCAAATAAGTGTTCAACTAGTATTTTAAAGTAAAAGCTTTTGAAAGTAACAAAACGGGGGAGCCTGGGTGGCTCAGTCAGTTAAACATCTGACTCTTAATTTAGTCTCAGGTCATGATCTCACATCAAGCCCCACACTGGGCTCTGCGCCGACGGTGCACAGACTGCTTGGGATTCTCTCTCTCTCCCCCCCACTTTCCTCTCTCTCTCAAAATAAACATTAAAAAAAAAAAATGAGAATGAAAGTGAGTAAAGAAATAAAAGTAACCAATTAACAGAGATTCTACCTCCTTAATAAACAAGGATATGCAAATTAAAGCAAGAGGGGTGTTTCACCTTTTGAAGAGGCAAAGGTGTGTTGGCAATAACAGAGAAAAATATATTCACACAATTGCAGGAGTAAAACTGATACAGTCGTACTAGAAGGAAATCTAATATTATGTGTCAAAGTTTAAAATGTGTACATGCTTCCACCAAGCAATCTTGTGAGAAATTATCCTAAGGAGACAAGTTCACCAAGATATAGATACAAGATATTTATAATGAAAACAAGAAGTTGCCTAAATGTTCATCCAAATGAAATTATTAAATTAGTCACAGCATATGTGGAGGCATTAAAAAAAAAAGCAAAGAACTTTTCAACTATTGAGTGAAATAAGCAGAATATAGGGCTAGCATACATGGTACCATTGCAGGATTGTACAAAAAACAACAAAAACAGTATGTTGTGGTTTAAGTTTAGAGTAAAAAAAGTTAAGACAAAAAAAAAAGACAAACAAAATGTCAGAAATAGTACTGTCAATTTACTTTTACCTTAAATTTTCCAAGTTACCTTTGTTTTTTTTTTTTGATAGATTATTAAGAATAATCAGACACTAGTCAGTCAGTCAGTCAGTCAGTCAGTTTGGGTATATGAGGAAAAAGGCCCAGGCAAGAAAAACTTCACAAGACTATGAAGGAGTGCTATTTTCTTGGCCTGAACAGAGGTAAATAATGGCATATGTACATGCGCCCTACCTCATTTTAACCAAGTGCACATATTCAAATGCCTACTTTCCCTCTCAGGATATCGATTACCAACAAGTTATCACCACTCTAGGATACTAATATTTCAAAATAAACAACATTTAGTCTTAATTTTAACTGCTCGCTGCATCATCAGCCTATTTCAAGTCTAAAAGTATTCTATTAAAAAATCCTCACTGAACCACTGAAAATTTTCAACAGTGACAACTATTCCCTGCTTTAAATATAAACTGGAAAAATCATACACAAAATAGCAATATGATAATCTTGTGGCACCTCAATGTCATTCTACTCTCTGTATCTGAACAAAGAAGAACGTTCTATAACTGAATTCATGGTAGCTTTCTTTCCTCTTCACATGTTACGTGTATACTATAAGAAGTTGTGAGGGGCGCCTGGGTGGCTCAGTCGGTTAAGCGGCCGACTTCGGCTCAGGTCATGATCTTGCGGTCCGTGAGTTCGAGCCCCGCGTTGGGCTCTGTGCTGACAGCTCAGAGCCTGGAGCCGGTTTCGGGTTCTGTGTCTCCCTCTCTCTGACCCTCCCCCATTCATGCTCTGTCTCTCTCTGTCTCAAAAATAAATAAACGTTTAAAAAAAAAAAAAAAAAGCTGTGAAAAAAGCTCTATTTGATACCCAGATAGGAAGCTGCTGAGAAACAGGTTAGTTTTTAAACAAAATGAGCTCCTCTGCCCTCCATGCCAACCACTAAGCAGGTCTTTCCCATTTATTCATGATTGATGTAGTAGTTCTCAGCAACATGTGTGCTAGTTCCATAATCATTCTATTCCCATTCTTTCATCTAACTGTCCATTTGGTCACATAAACAATTAGTAATGTGATGGCACAAATTTCCTTTCAGTTCTTAATTTTTAAAAAATGTTATGTGATTTTATTTTCCAATTTTGTTTAAATTTTTTTTTCCTGTGGAGTGTTTTTTCAAAATATTTAAGCAAAGTTTGTGACAGCTGACCTGGCATCAAATGCTATACTTAGACATTCCTAAAGTTTATTTTAAACTAAGTTGAAACTAAAACTCTCATATTATTGAATACATTTCTAGAGATACATAATTAAGGAAATAATTCAAAATGGGATACAGTCTAGTGTTTATTTTATGTTATGGCAGGTACACTTGAATTTCAAAAATTTAAAACATATAAAAAGTGGTTAGGGACTAACATTTGTATCAACAATTGATAAATGTCTAAGATTGTTTATTATACAGCAGGGTACAATGGTAGTGCTAATGCCAGTAGGGCACCATGGAAGTTAGTCTAAAAATTATCACCAGGCTTTATACAAGCAACAACATATGCTGCTGTTTTAGAATTTCCGGACATAGTCTGCTTCTAATGCTAAGCAGTCCTTTAACATTTTTAATGTTATATAGTGTTACAGTATTTAGTTTGGCAAATGTTTCAAAATAAAGTAGAAATGTATTCATAACATCACAGAAATGCACATCCAGTTTTGTTTTCAATAAGAACCATAGGTACAGATCAGAACTCTTCCCTATATGAAATAATTTACACACAGATGAATGCTATAATATCACTATCTAAAATAATCACTAAATACAATTCTTTTTCAGAAATAAACAAGCAAAGGGTTTTTTCATTTTCAAATATCAAAAACATAGAGATAATGTATGCTTTCCAAACAATGATATTCTAAAATTATAGGAATAATTTTAGTGAATTCAGTGAAGGTAAAAGCTAAATCAACCAAGTATACTGTAGTACAACCATATTAAATGAAACCAATGATCAGAAAATACAATCGTAGGAAAGAAATTGATAATCCACAAAACTGCTTTTCAGGCCTCAAGGTAAAACAGTTCCACAGTTTACAGGTAAAACCAAAGCAACAAAAATGCGTGCTTGTCTTCAATAAGTAGATATTTTATGCGGAAGATGTAACACTTTGTTTGTAGACAGCGTGGTATGCATTTCTCAGCAAGACATAAGGAAAACAAGATTCCAAAAGATCCATTGTCAGGAATGGGGATTCCTGCACAATCTGAAAAGTTGCAAAAATTCATCAAAGAATTAAAGTTATTTATAATGGGAACATTTACTCATAGCCAGTAAATCATAATTTCTATAGTGTTCTTATTAGAAATTGATAGAAAATTATTTTCCTTTTACTTTAAAACCTGAAATATAAATGGGTCACAATGTTTTGCTAGCAAAATGTCTAAAATCACCACTTTTCAATGAAGTCTATTAATCAACAGGAATATATTGAGCACTTTCACATTTGCCCTCAACAGTACACTAGACATGCAAGACAATACAAACATATTCAAAATATGGTCCATATCATCAAGTCCCACTGGGTTCCCAAGACTAAGTAAAAAAGCCAAATAAACATAAGACCAGCTGTAATGAAGTGGAAAGCCAGGAGTTCAAAAGGGATGAAAGATTAATGTGGGTCAGAGTAATGAGGAAAGTCTACCTAGACAAAGAGTATAGCTATGGCGTATGCTAAATCATAAGACAGATACAGATCTCTGCAGGAAAAGGAAACTATTTCAAGTGAGGGAAGAGTCACATGGTAGAAACAAGCATAGCTGGTTTGGATGGTGAAGAGACAGCACTGACTAGGCATAGAGAATCCAAGAATGCAAATCTTTTATTTTGTTGTCTTCTGATATGGATGCCATTTGGTAAAATACAAGTGATGTCAGTCTTTCCAGCAATATTTAGAAAGAGTGAACTGAACAGAAGGGATCAAAAAGGTACTTCAGCTCTTACTGGTATTTAATTACTAAATCCCAAGAAAAGACTATCAGGAATAACAGAAACTTTGTTGTTGTTAATAAAAAATAAAACGAGACTTACCATATCTAGCAGTAAATAAACAGATTCTCTATTTCTTGTTGTTGTTTTATCTGTCTCCTGGCCAATTTTCAGTAGACTGGAGGATGCAAGCTTAAAGTATACAGACATTTTAAGTAAGTTTTAATGTTCACAAGTTACTTGTTTATTTTCAGTATGCTTCAACTTATCATACAGCTACATATAAGATAATGGACAAAATTCTAAGGCAGTCCAAACATTAGCTTAGAAAAAAAGAAGATCATATTGCAGAGCTCTAGGAGAGATCTGTTAAGGGAAAAAATGTCAAATGGCTCCTTGATTTTAATGCCTGCCTTCACCTGGTCCTCCTTCCAGAAAAAAATAAATAAATAAAGAGAATTTATTCTGTTGTATCTGACCGTTATCATTTTCCTCATAAAATGTCATGAGTTCTGCTATTAGATTATACATACCGCCAGAAATTCTTTCAGTCGGTCTTCAATGCTTCCTTTGTGAATTGTAAACAAAGCTGCAGCGATCTGGTTGATGGCTTTAGCCAAGCAATGTATGTTGTTGCAGTGCCCTGAGAAAGTGCAAATAGGGTTTGTGGTTTTTGCGAGACCCCAAAATTTCAAATAATACATAAAAGGCAAGTCTTTAATGAATGACTTCACAATCTACATACTGATGCAAAAGAGTTATTAAAAAGAGTTGGGACACAGCCTGCCTTGCTCTCCTTTCACTGTTATGAGGACTAGTGCCTTCAAAAATACTATGGCAAAAAAAAAAGCAACAAATGATTATGCCTGTGTTGAACAGGCATATTTTCAAAAAAATCCCTAAAAGAAATTATACATTAGTTTTATATTCTCTCTGAAACCTAAAAAAGAAGTTCTCAGCTGCTTTACATTTTGTCAATCTTCAAAACAATCTTAAGAGTTGGATACTCCCTCACCATCCCCTGTCACACACAGTCAAGCACCCAAAGGTTCACACACACGCATTTCATATATCAAGATATGGAAAGCTTAGAAAAAGAAAATCAACTACTCAAGGTTACAAAGCTACTTAAGTGGCTAGTAAGTTAACCTACATTCTATCATAAATGAACATTAATTACTTGAAGAGTATCTATTATATCAAAACTCCTGACCTTTTCATTGCCAAAATAATTTTAAACCACTATTACCTTCTATAGCCGGGCTATACTGAGACATCACATTACTAGCCAGTGTCGGCAAAGAAACTGCCACAAAGACCATAAGGAGGCAGGCAATTTTATATTCTTCTTCTGGACTTATGTTTTCTAGGAGAGAAAATTAAGAATAAAACCAAGGTACTTCTTTAAAATTACTTGAGTTAATAATTAAACCAGAAAAAGTAATTTTAATTTTTGTATAAAGTACATTACTGAGCTTCTACAGAACTAATCAGAACTATTATAAGAAATATAGAACAGAAATAATATACATCATTGGTTATTATCACTACTCAAGCATATTTCGAGAACCTCTAACAAAAAGACAATTTTTTTAAAAATTGTAAGATTGTAGGGTAAAAACTGTGATTAGGATAAGTGGAATCCTAAAATTTCTTAATTATTTATTATTTTAGAGAGAGACAGAGAGAGCGCGCGCACGCACTAGCAGGAGACAGGGGTGTAGGGGAGGGGGAAGAATACCAAGCAGGTTCCACGCTCAGCATGGAGCCCAACACGGGGCTGGATCCCACAACTCTGGGATCATGACTGAGCTGAAATCAGGAGGATGCTCAACTGACTGAGCCATCCAGACACCCCCTAAAATTTCTTAAGTGTAAACTGGTAAGTAATTTTTTTTCAAATGTTTATTTTGAAAGAGAGACAGACAGACAAGCAGGGGGAGAGGCAGATAGAATCCCAAGCATTCTCCACACTCAGCGTGGAGTCCAGAGCCGGATGCAGAGCCTGATCTCACAAGCATGAGATGATGACCTGAGCCAAAATCAAGAGTCAGACACTTAACCAACTGAGCAACGCAGGCACCCCGAAAACTGATGTTACTTTATTAAAAAATTGTTTATTGTTGTTTAGAAAATTTATTATATCATAAATACTCTGTAATGTCATTTAAAAAATCCTTACTTTTTTTCTAGAATTGATATAAAAGTGATTTGAAGTTTACTATTACTATTTAAAAGACATAAATGTGGAAAGTGGAGATTTCCAACCTCTCCATTTTAGAAGACAGAAGGAACCAGTCATAAATAAAAATAACTAGCACCGCCCTAAGTCTTTTAAGACCTAATCCTTTGTAAAACATTTATTGTAATGTGTACTAAAATTGCATGTTACCTAGGCACTTGAATCTGGTGCCTGGGAAATTCTAGTTACCCTACTATTCATCCCACCACTTATATGTAAGAATTGAAAGAGCCAGAATGTGTTTTTAAAATTTAGTTATGGGAGCACCTGGCTTAGTCGGTTAAGCATCTGACTTCGGTTCAGGTCATGATCTCACGGTTCGTGGGTTGAGCCCCACATCAGGCTCTGTGCTGACAGCTCGGAGCCTGGAGCCTGCTTTGGATTCTGTGTCTCCCTCTCTTTGGTCCTCTCCCTCCCTCCCTCCCTCACTCTCCCTCCCTCTCTCTCTCTCTCTCTCTCTCTCTCTCAAAAATAAACATTAAAAAAAACTTTTTTAAATTTAGTTATGAAAAATGTAACTGTGGCAAAATGAGTAATCGTGGCACTCATGTGACTATAAATTAACATATTGCATGAAGAATGAGACAAAAATCAATGTTAAATAAAAAAAGAACAGATTAACCCAGCCAAACATGCTAGGTGCAAGAGGACAGGTATGGGCACTTAAGTATCAGAAACAGATAAAATGTTACTTACTTTGTAGAAAAATCTAGAAATATCTACAGCATTCTGGGTATTACATTTCAAAGAGCTGGACTTACAATCTTTTAAATGTTTAATACAATATAACAATGTACAGACTCTATGGTAAATAGCTCTAGTTCAATGAAAATAGGACACCCTTTTCCAGTTATCAATTATGTTACCTACTGGGCCATCTCCATTAGTAAACAAATGTTGCTAGTTTCTTTCCTGAAAAGAATTCGTCTCTTGATTTTTTAAAAAAAAATGTTTATTTTTGAGAGAGAGAGAGAAAGAATGCGAGCATGCATGCAAACGAGTGGAGTTGGGGCAGAGAGAGAAGGAGACACAGAATTCCAAACAGCACAGAGACCGACGCACGGCTCAAACTCATGAACCACAAAATCATGACCTGAGCTGAAATTAAGAGTTGGACGCTTAACCAACTGAGCCACCCAGGTACTCCAGTCCTTCTCTTGATTTTATTCCTGCCTCTAACTACTGTTAATTTCATTTCTTTGCTCCCTTTTACAGTAAAGTTCTTGATAGAGTTGTTTTATACTGATTATTTCCTATTCCTTTTTCCAATTCGCTTGAAAGCCCTAACAGCCTTTTGCTCCAAAAATTCTACTGCTCTTGGCAACATTACCTATTGCCCATATTAATTCTACATAGTTGATCATTTCCTCTCCACTTTGCTGGAAGCTACTCTTTCCTAGTTTTTCTTCTCCTTCATCCATCCTTCTTTCTCAGTTTCTTTGTTGGTAGATCCTCCTCTTGTCCTGGAGTTCTTAAAGTTGCAAGTGTCCCAGGGCTCAGACCCTGATCCTCCTCAACTAACTGATCTCAGTAATCTCATCTAGTCTTATGGTTTAAATATCAACCCTGTATGAGGACTATGTTCCAAACACCAAAAATAAATAAAAATAAAAATATAAATCAATCAATAAATAAATAAATAAAATGCAAGTTTGACATTCAGCAGGCATTTGAGTAAATAAGTACCACATCTATATCTGTGTTGCCCTGATAATTTTAACTAAGACTAATATGTACTTACTAATGCATTTTACCTGATTTTTGTGAGGAGAGAGCTACCACCAAGGCAGGATCAATCTCACAAGGTAATCCAGCAGCTGATGATAACTCATATACATTCATTGCAACCTGATGAAATATGTAAGAATTACAGAGTAAGAAATCTCACTTTAGTAAGAAACGATAATACTGTTTAAATTAGAGTCTACCTACACCACCACTAGATTTCAAAGCTTAGGTGAAACAGGAACAACAGCACAACTAACCTATAATGAACAACTGTTATTACTTCATGATGTACTGCTTGTTAGAACTTCCTGTTGTTAAGGCCCAAGAAAATTTGTATACTTTCTGTATAAAATGCCAACAAAATCAGCTTAACATTATTTTTTTTGGAAGTATGGATATAATGTATCAAGTCAAAGATAAATAAATGAACAAAAGCAAATCAAAATCACTGAACTTATATTTACACTCATACTTATTTAATGAAAAACTGTGGTGGTTCAATGACTCATCATACCATAGCCATAAATATGGTAAATTACTTACCATAATAGAATTTTTTAAAAATTTATTTTGAGAGAGAGCGAGTGAGCAGGGGAGGGGCACAGAGAGGAGAGAGGGAATCCCAGGCAAGCTCTACACTGTCAGTGTAGAGCCCCACACAGGGCTCAAACTCAAAACTGTGAGATCATTTACCTGAGCCGAAATTAAGTGTCAGATGCTTAACTGATCGATGCACCCAGGAGCCCCCATAATAGATTTTTTTTTTAAGTAAGCTCCATGCCCAACGTGGTCCTTGAACTCACGACCCAGAAATCAAGAGCTGCATGCTCTACCAACTGAGCCAGCCAGATGGCCCATCATAGATTTTTAAGGAGTAATGACTTAAAACCCCATAAAGGAATTTCTAATGACTAAAGTAATTCTTTTTGGTGTCACATATGGATTTCATGTCTTTAGGAGATATATATATATATAAAACCACCTACATAATTGGTTACCTCTGATAGTGCTACAAAAAAATTCAGTATAAAATATGAAGTAAAACTGTGTATCTTAAAATAAATAGAAATTGCCATGGATTAAGTTCTAGGAAAACATTTTTTTTTTTTGTGATCCACAAAAAAAATTACTCCACTCACTCTACACACAAAAAATAACTCAAAATGGATTATAAACTTAAACATAAGAGCTAAAACCACAGAATTCTTAGAAGTAATATAGGTATAAATTTTTCAACTGTGGGTTAGGCAACGGTTTCTTAGGGAACCAAAAGCAGAGGTAATCAAAGAAAAAAAAAAGACAAATTAGGCTTCATCAAAATTAAAAACTTTTGTGCTGCAGAAGATATTATTAAGAAAATGAAAAAAACAGCCCACAGAACAAGAGATTTGCAAAGCATGTATGTTACTGGACTTGTATCCAAACATATAATGAATTTTGTATCTCAGAATTAAAAAGGCAAACAAAACAATCCAAGTGAAAAAATGAGCAAATGATATGAACAGATATTTTTCCAAAGATACACAAACAGCCAATAAGTAGATGAAAAGACGTTCAACATCCATCATTTCAGGAAAATGTTTAGCAAAACAAGGAGACACCATTTCATACACACTAGCATGGTTATAATTAAGAAGACAGACAGCAACAAGTACTGACAAGGATAGAGAGAAAGTGAAACTTTCATACACTGCTGCTGGGAATGAAAAATGGCACAACCACTTTGAAAACAATTTGGCAGTTTCTCAAAAGGTTAAACATAGAGTTTCCATATGACCTAGCAATTCAATTCCTGGCATATACTTAAGAGAAAGGGAAGCATATGTCCACACAAAAACCTGTATATGGATAGTCACAGAAGTATTATTTATAATAGCCAAAAAGTGAAAACAACATAAATGACCATCAACTGATGAAAGGATAAATGTTGTATATCCATATAATGGAATATTATTCAGCAATTAGAAATGAAGTATTGATACATGCTACATCAATAAACCTTGAAAGCATTATGCTAAGTAAAAGCCAGTACCAAAAGACTACACATTGTATGATTTATATGAAGTGTCAAGAATAGGCAAACTTACAGAAACAGAAGGTAGATTAGTGGTTGCCTAAGGCTGGGACTAGGAACAATTAGGGAATTACTGCTAATGGGCATAAGGTTTCTTTCTGGAATGCTCTAAATTGGCTGTGGTGATAGTTACACAACTCTGTGACTATAAATAAAGCTATTAAAAATACGTATCAGTCGGTTAAGCATCCGACTTCGGCTCAGGTCATGATCTCGCAGTTTGTGAGTTTGAGCCCTGAGTCAGGCTCTGTGCTGACAGCTTGGAGCCTGGAGCCTGCTCCGGATTCTGTGTCTCCTTCTCTCTTTGCCACTCCCCCACTTGTGCTCTGTCTCTATCAAAAATAAATAAATGTAAAAAAAAATGTTTTTTAAATATGTATCTGGAGGACTGGTGGTTGCCAGAAGGGAGGGGGACTGGGCAGATGGGTGAAGGGAAGTAAGACGTACAAACTTTCAGATATAAAATAAGTCACATGAATGAAAAGTACAGCATAGGGAATATAGTCAATAATGTTATAGTAACTTTGTATGGTGACAGATGGTAGCTATACTTATCAAGGCAAGCACTTCATAATGGGTATAAATGTTGAATCATTTCATTGTACATCTGAAACTAATGTATTGTATGACAACTATACTTCAATTAAAAATAGATTAATTTAAAAAAATACATGTTTGGTTTTTTTTTTAAATATGAAGTTCTATTGAAAGTTTGCTAAAAACTAAACATAATTATGTTGGTGCTAAGAGAATTAAATAGTTGCTCAGAATATTGATTAGTATTCTCATAATCCACACACCAGTGTATTCTCAAGGAAGGATTCTTTAATGTTTTAACTTTTTTTTCTACAGTTGTTTCCACTTAACAATTTTGCACTAATCATCATACATGGTTTTCAATTATAAAATCGTAGGACAATCATTGATCTCAAATGTTTATGCAAAGCACTGTGGGAGAAACAAAAATATAGAAAACACGGTCTTCAAAATGTTTACAACTTAGTATAAATTTAAAAGGAAAAACACAATTATAATGCAAGGCAGAACTTATTTAACTCTACAATGGATAAACAAAAAGTTGTCTGATAATAATAAGAAAAAAATCCTTTATTGCCTGGGGATCAAGGAATGTTTCTTAGAAGATGGCAACTCAATCACACCTTAAAAGATAAGCAGGATTTCAAAAGGCAGAAACAGAAAAGGGCAAGATTTGCAGGTAGAATAAATGAGAGGATGACACAGACAGATGTGAGCATGCACATTGGGAAGAACTAGTTACCTCACAGGATACATATATGAAGAGAGGGGCAGAGGAAGAAAAGGAAAGGGAAGAGCACTGGACAAGGATGGACAAGCGATGAAAGATAAGCCTCAGAAAGTGAGAGGCTTCAATCTGAGAAGACTTGAGTGTCATAAAAAGACTTTAGCGTAACTTTTTCAGTCACTGCATTTCAAAATATGAAACAGAAAATAATCTTTCCAAGACACATGAAAGTTTAGAAAACATATACATGAGGTCACTTACTGGATGTGTAACTACTGGTTAATTAATGCTGGGAGTAAATAAGTGAGTTGGATTTCATGATCAAAAAATTTTCAAAACAAAAATCATAAACTCACATGTGGTTACTAATCTTCTCTTATAGTCATAAAAACAGGATATTAAAATTTTATTATACCCTATAATTGACATTCTTTTATAAGACTTTTTAAACATCAATTAAAAAAAACAGATTGAACTTTACTTTACTTAAAACAAAACAACTCCTATCTCAATGGCTTGTTTTTCTTATTCTGCTAACAATGACCATGTATAAAAAGCTATAAGCTTAAGGAAAAAAGACCAATACCAACCCACTTTACATTGCTATAGGTGACCAAGGAAGATGAACTTTCAAAATGCCCACACAGCATTTTAGTGCTGAGCTCTCAAAGATGTATTTTCAAAGGCCAGCATGCTAATTAATCACTCTAAAACAGAAACTTTACAATTGTTTTGAGTTTATTAAATTTTATTTCATATGTAACTCATATTTCATTTTAGAAAATGTTAAAATCCAAATAGAAGTTTTATTACCTTCATATCAGTTTCTCTTGGAATGTGATCCTTGAAATCTTCAATTGAACTTACAAGAAAAGGAATGTGGTAAGATAAGACCTAGGCAGGACAACAAATAAAAATGTAGACTTATTTTTAAATGGCAAATCCTAAATTTATTAAATATTACCATTCAATTATTTCTAGTTTTCATAAAAATTATTTTACTTTTTCTATTTTCACATGATTTTCTAAAGTACTAAGACACAGAGAAATGAAATATGTTTGATGCCAAGCTGAGTAAAGCCAAAATGGAAAATGCTTAAATGAAGAGTGAAGTTGAAAATGTAGTAAAGTATCTAGGCAAACTATACCTCTCACCCCCAATTTCAATACCAAAATAAAAAATAAATTTAATAACCCTAATTTCTACATATTTGATTATATATAACTATGAAAACTGGAATTTTAAGTAACTTTTAATTTCTGGGAAATTAACGGATTATTTGACTGGATATGTACTTATAATGGTTTCTTACATCTCTAAGTGCTTCTTGTGCCAATGATCGGAAGGACAAAATTACACCAATTATTGTCATCCTCTTCAAGACACTGTCAACAGCTAAATTGGAAGAAAGGAGAGGAGAACAACAGGAATTAGAGTCTTTCTTAACTTTGGAGAAAACTTTTAGTTATAAAATTCCCATGATAAAAGGCACAATAGCAATTTGATTAGAACAAGTGATTAAAGAGGCAAAGGTACTGAAAGCTGATATTAAAACTAAGGAAATTATAGTTTACTTCATATGGAGTACACACTATTCTTTAAAATGATTTAGATAGTTCACCAGAATCTTGAAATAATCACATAAGCAGCCACCCAGATAATCCTCTCAGAAATGGTAGAAGTAGGAGGGTGGAGAGAGAGACTCGGGGAGAAAGAGAAAGTTGTCAGAGTGGACAGGAGTTAAATGCCCAGAGGTCTCAGAACATGGAGATGATAAATTCTTAAATTGTTGAGGTGTGGAGAGTCAAGAAACAAAAAATGACACCGAGATCACAAGCAGTTTTGGTAAGACCAGGGTGCTAAAGACTATAAACAGATTTGATAATTTACATTTCGTTAGAAAGCATTATTCTGAAAATTATTATTATATATTCAGTATTAAAACTTAACAAAATCAAGGCAATTAGAACTGGAAGGATCAATACTTTCATATTTTAAAAAGCCAACAAACATTTACTGAATTATTCCTGATATATAAGGCATAATACTGTATAATAAGAACACAAATATAAACAGAATAATAATCTAGACATTAAGTAACAGTCTAAACGGACTGTCAAGAAAACTAAGAAAATATAATCCTATTTATGAGATAAAAGATATACAGTTGACCCTTGAACAACACAGGTGTGAACTGTGCAGATCCACTTACATGTGGATTTTTTTCCACAGGTAAATGAAGTACAGTACTATAAATTTATTTTCTCTTACGATTTTAATAACATTTGTTTCTCTTGCTTACTTTATTGTAAGAATACAGTATATAATACATATACCATATAAAATATGTTAATCAACTGTTTATCAGTCTTCTGGTCAACAGTAGGCTATTCGTCGTTAAATTTGGGGGGAGTCAAAATTTCTATGCAGATTTCTGACTACGGGGGGTGGGGTCAATGCCCTTAAACCCCATGTTGTTCAGAGTCAACAGTATATAATATATATATATACACACATACATATATGTATATTACATATATATACATACATATATATATACACACACACATATATATATATATATACACATATATTTGATAACATATTTCTAGAAAAACATACAGAAAACTGTTAACTATAGTTGCCTTTGAGGAGTAGGATTGCAGAGAACTGTTTTGACTTTCTACGTCCTGTGTGGATTGTTTAAAACTTGACCATAGCATCTGTATTAAAACATACTAACAGCCATAACATAAGCCAAAATGTGATGAGAATTAAAACAGTAGTGTTAATAAAATGAGGTGAGGCACAAATATGTTATACAATCCACATGAGCAGGAACTAGTCTAATCAATCAGTATTTTTAATCTTTCTCTAACACTCAGTGGAGTGAAACTCAGACTAGAAGATGTTTAATGACACGGTTATTCAAGAAAGGAGACTAGGAAATTGTTACAATCCAGAAAAGGAGAGAAGAAAAAGGGTGAAAGGAACTATTTAAGAAAGTATCACCCAAGATGGTCATAAAAGAACATTAAGAAGACAAAAGCATTCCACATCAGCAAACAACAAAAAAAAAGGGAATCCAGAAAAAGGAAAGGCAGAGAGTATATCAGAAAATAAGTAGTGTGGTATAATCATATATTTTCCAAGTGATGATACCCAGAACTTAATCAAATAATTTTGCCAAAACTATATCTCACAACCTCCCCTTGAACAATAATGACACATTAAAAGTTCTGAGGGGCGCCTGAGTGGCTCAGTTGGTTAAGCATCCGACTTTGGCTCAGTCATGATCTCGCTGTTCGTGTGTTCAAGCCCTGCATCAGGCTCTGTGCTGAAAGCTCAGAGTCTGGAGCCTGCTTCGGATCTGTGTCTCCCTCTCTCTGCCCCTCCCCCTCACACTCTTATCTCTCTCTCCCTCTCTCAAAAATAAACATTAAAAAAATTTTTTTTTTCAAGTTCTGAGAAACTTCATGGTAAGAAATGTGTTTAACTTAATTGTTAATGAATTATTTGCCATACCTTTTTAACCACTGGCACTTCCTCTTAGCCTCCATAATTTATTAATATCTTGCTATGCTTTGAATGTTTAAGTCTCCACAAAATTCATATATTAAAATCTTAAGCCCAAAAAGCTGATGGTATTAGGAGGTGTGGCCTTTTGAAGGTACTCAAGCCATGAGGGTGGAACTCTCAATAATTTGATTACTGCCTTCAGTAAGAGAGGCTTCAGAGAGAACCTTATCCCTTTCAGTTATGTGAAAATACAATGACAAGTCTGTGACGCTTAAGAGGGGCCTCACCCAACCATGCCAGCAGCATGAATTTGGACTTCCAGACTCCAGAACCGTAAGAAACAAATTTCTGTTGCATACAAACTACCCAATCTTTGATATTTTATTGTAGCGGCCCAAACAGGCAAAGGCATATCCCAAGACTAAGAGCAGAGGCTATGTGGATCTCAGGCCAGGCAAGAAAAAGCAGTGGGGAAAATAAGGTTTCTAGAAAGAATGTCGGGATAGGAGGTTGATCCAAATAATGGCTTTCTAATGCCATGCTAAGGAGTTTGAGACTATGCTCCAGCAAGGAAAGGTTAGTAGTTCAGGTTTGTTTGTTTGTTTGTTTGTTTGTTTTTTAATATAAAGAGTGATAGGAAAAGAAACCTTTAGAAATATGACTTTAAATGTAGAAGATGGTTTAGAAAGGGAAGACTGGACTCATTTGGAAGCCACAACTGTAGTTCACAAAATAATGACAGAGCCTTAAATGGGAACCATGGCAATAAAAGGAATAGATTCAGGCATCACATTTAAGAGGTGGAGTCTGAAGGAGTTAAAAGCTCAAATCTATGGCAGGTAACATAAAATAGTTAAGTAGAATGGGGAAACAATAATGAGAGGAAGGAACTGGAGAAAAAAAATTCTAAAGGGGGCAACTGCTTATTAGCTCCAGCCAATCACTGCCATGTGGGGAAATATGTCCTAGGGTTCAGGAAGGAAGCCAGAAGTTTGGATATTTATGCAAAAATCTTTCATTTTTAAAATAATGATCAAAGAGACTGTGTTTTGTTTTGTTTTGTTTTTTAATTTAATGCAGGATAGAGCCAAGCAAATTCTATCCTTGGGCCAAACATGACCCACCAATTTGCAGACTCTAATCTGGAAGATACAGCTACTGGATGTGGAATGTGATGACAAGAAGAGTCAGAGAGCATACCCAAATTTCCCTGTGAGAATCACTGGCTGAATGGCATGGGAGGTAATAAAATGGCAATAAAAGTGTATCATGCTTTCTCCCCACCCACTCATACCTCGCATGAGAGGAATATCCTTCCTATTCCAGAGATGTTGCCAAGTACCTGTGGGTCATATAGCTGTAAATATCTAACCGTGTTTCTCAAACTTCAGTGCGAGTCAGAATCACTTGTTGGGTCCCAGCAAATTGATTTAGTAGGTCTGGGGTGGAACGCCAACAATTTACATTCTTAACAAACTCCGGTCCATGGACTACACCCTTGTCAAACTAGCACTTGGTATTAAATGCCTGGAGCTCCAGAGGGAGAATCAAGGCTAGAGATGAATATTTAAAGAAACACTGATACATAAGACTGGATACATTTTCCCAATAGGAGTGTAAAATGGTGGCTTGCAAAAGGTAAGAGACAAAAGTATTGGCAAATGAAGAAAATGAAGTTTCAATAAAAAGGAGAGCAAAAGGTAATACTACAGAGAAATCAAGTAGAATAAGAAAAAGGACCAGATTTTGAAAATGGATAGTCACTAATGACCTGTTCCAGAAAGGTTTCAGGAAAGTAACCACATTATGATGTACAAGAGTAAATAGAAAATTTGGAAGACAAAAGAGCAAATTCAAGCTAGTAAAATTTAGCAACGTGAAGAATGGTAGGGATGAATAAGAGGCAAGCTTAACAAAAAACAATAACAAGTGTTATTTTATAAGCAGTATCTGGCTTCCAGGGGGTAGGAGGTTTTTCTGGGATCAGGGAAACTGCTTGCAATGATAAGTGTAGCAAAGTCAGAGTATGACAGCACAGAGGAGAATGCAATTAAAATCACTAAACTTTATAGTCCAGAATGGATAAGGAAGTAAAACCAGGAAGTGGCTGATTAGAAAATAGAGAGAGGTCAAAGTTTCAATAAGCCAGGACAAAAAATTTAACAGGGGCAAAGGAGTGAGGAGTGGGAAAGCCATAAGACAGGACTATGATCTGAGAGTAGAGTTTCAAATTCAAGATTTTACCAGTACAGCAATTTCAGGTGATAAAGACATTCAAAGTACTGCTAAAGTAAAGGTCTTTGGAGGCAACTTGTAGGTTTGCAGATGGTGGCAAAGTCAGGGCAAAATTAGAAAATAAAGATTTATAATAAGAAAGTCAATAGAGTGATTAACCTAGCCCCATGAGACACACTGTGAGAAAACAGAGAGACATTATTAAATTTGCTCAAGTCACATAGCTAGAAAGTCCTAAAACTGAAGATTAATTCCAGATTACGCCCCAATTCAAAGCTACTTTTAATAAATTATACTGCTTTTTAAAGGTATTAAAAGAATGTGGTTGTCAGCTATGAAAGTCAAACTGCTACAAAAGTACATTAACTTCTGGATATAGGGTAAAGGAAGCACAAAGATAGGGATCTAAGACAAAAGAATTTTGGAAAATAGTTCAACTGAAAGAAGAGCTTTCTCTACTCCACTAAATAAGCCACTCGCAAGCAGATCTTTTCTTTTTTCAAATCCCCAAAAAGATTTAATAAATTCTATTTAAAGGCAAATTTGACATACATGGGTCATTAAGACTCAGCAATTTAGATTTTGGCCAATTCTGTTAAGTCATGAATCACCACTACCATATACAAAAATTCAAGTAAATAAAATCTACATAAAGGATTATGAATTTTACTTTGAAAATCTGCAAACTGTTTGGAGTTTTAACAAATTTCATTTTGTTTCGATTCTACAAACAAGAGAGTTAAAGTTAACAGTAAACAGGCACTGAACATTGGAGTGGATTAAATGCTTCTAACCAGATGATATTGTCAAAACATTATTTATTAGTAAAAAGTTAAGTAGTTAGGCTGGGTGATCTATTAAAAAACGGGAGAGGGGCGCCTGGGTGGCTTGGTCGGTTAAGCGTCTGACTTCAGCTCAGGTCATGATCTCACAGTCTGTGAGTTGGAGCCCCGCGTCAGGCTCTGTGCTGACAGCTCAGAGCCTGGAGCCTGTTTCAGATTCTGTGTCTCCCTCTCTCTCTGCCCCTCCCCTGTTCATGCTCTGTCTCTCTCTGTCTCAAAAATAAATAAACGTTAAAAAAATAAATAAATAAATAAATAAAACGGGAGAAACACACAATAAATAATTAAAAATAAAGAAAACAAGACTAGAAAATGTAAGTACATAGTAAAACAATGAACAAAAAAGATCAGGTAGAGATTTAAAAATAATTTCCTACTAAATATTTATTCACACTCTACCTCTCTCTAATACTACCAACTCAGTACTTTCATTTTTAGCTTTTTAATTTCATTTTTTAAGTACCATACAGTAAATCTGACCTTCTTTCCTTCTTTTGGTATATAGCTCTAGGAAAAAAAATTTAATGTATAGATTTGTGTAACCACCTCGCCACTGTGGTAACAGTTTCATCACCCCAAAAAACTTCCTTGTTTGCTTTTCCCAGTTCTGGCAACAACTGACCTGCTCTACAAGGCAACATATCATATAGTTTAATTTTATACTAATTTTTATTAAAAAAGCTTGCATTTTTTAAAGCATTTTTGAAGACAGACTAATAAAGTAATTCTCTAAATCATTTTACACTTTTATAAAGTTTTATATAGCTGCCTAACATTCAAAAGAAGATTATCAGGGGGTGCGTGGGTAGCTCAGTTGGTTAAGTGCCCGACTTTGGCTCAGGTCGTGATCTCACAGTGTGCTGAGGCTGAGCCCTGCATCAGGCTCTGTGCTAATAATAAGCTCAGAGCCTGGAGCCTGCTTTGGATTCTCTCTCTCTCTCTCTCTCTCTCTCTCTCTCTCTGCCCTTACCCCACTCATACTCTGTCTCTCTCTCAAAAGTAAAAATTAAAAATTAAAATAAATTAAATTAAATTAATAAATGAAATTAAAGAAGATATTGGGGCACCTGGGTGACTCAATCAGTTGAACTTCGGAATTCAGCTCTGAACCCTGTGTTGGACTCTTATGCTGACAGCTCAGAGCCTGGAGCCTGCTTTGGATTCTGTGTGTCTCTCTCTCTGCCCCTCCCCTGCTTGTCCGTGCTCTCTCTCTCTCAAAAACAAACATTTTTAAAAAATTTAAAAAGTAAATAAAATTATCAAAGGAGAAGTATTATGTAAAATACATGCATGGCTTTAATTTTCCTCAGGACGATTTTTTATTTGGGAGAATAAACTCTGGTTTTCTCAAATACAAAGAATATTTTATTTGGTATTTGATTAATTTTCTACTGTTGGAATGGCCTTTATTTTTTCAAGCTTATTAATTTATTTTGAGAGAAAGCGAGCAAGCAGGGAGGGGCAGAGAGAGAAGGAGGGAAAGACAGAGAATCCCAAGCAGGCTCTGCACTGTTAGCATAGAGCTGGATACAGGGTTCAAAGTCACAAACCATGAGATTATGACCTGAGCTGAGAACAAGAGTTGAACATTTAATTGACAGAGCCAACCCAGGCACCCCGGAAAGGCTTTTAAATGAATCATAAAGTATGACTTTAGAATAATTTTTAATTATAAGTTCAAGTACAAAGCAAATGAAAATAAATTCAAGTGGATCTAAAAGTTACCTGTCTAAATATACTTTAATATATATTTAAGATTCACTGTTGTTTCACAACATACATCCCACAAAAAATCAATGTCAAGAAGACATTAAAAACAAATTTTTTTTCAGTTGTAGGGCTCAGGTTTTCATGCAATGAATACTAGTTAGCAATAAAAAGAAACAGATTACTGATTCACTTAACATAGCTGGGTAAATCTCAAAAACATATTGAATGAAAAAAGGCAGACACAACAGTATATGCAGTGTGATTCCATTTATATGGAGTTCTAGAACAGGCAAATTTAATCTATAGTGATAGAAATCAGATTAGTTTTTGTCTGGGTTTGGGGATGGTGAGAAACTGACTACAAAGGGAGAGGGAACTTTCTGAGGTGATGGAAGTGCTCTGTGTCTTGACTGTGGTAAAGGTTACTTGGATGTATACATTTGTCAAAATCCATCAAACTGCTCATTTACATGCACAGATTTCATTGTATGTAAACTACACCACAATAAAGTTGATTTTTAGAAAGTTAACTCAAAAGTTAATTCTCCTTTAGTCTAAGTTAACATAGACTTACTTTGTATTAAATGAGTTTATAACTAATCGATAATATTCGCTAAATATTTGATCATGGGACTAAGAGTATGGTAAAAAAAACCCAAAAAACCAACTGTGACATACATCAGTCATGTACTTAAAATATCCTCTGACTGCAAGAATTTTCTGGTTCTCTTCATAAGCTAAGGAGTGCGTATATTTATGTTTGAATAATGGCTTAATTCAAGGTCTTAATACTTACAGAAAGTATCATGAGTTACTCACATGATAATCTTTTAAAGAGTGCAGCCATCTGATCTGGTTTGTCAAAGCTGGTCCTCATTTGTGTTAGCACATCAACATTCTCTACCACAAGTTTCTAAAACAAAACAAAACAAAAAGTAAGAAAGATTCTAGCTTAGGCATAGACCTCCTTGCATTAATGAGACAAGAGCATGTTTGAAATCACAATCCAGCAAGTAGGAAATACAATTCATGAAATCCAGATGCTCTATGCTATATACTTTTGTTGTTGGTTTAAAAAAAGAATCTTAAAATTATTTATATAGGATTAATGTTTTTATTCCATTTGAAATTCAAGAAGGGAGGATGGTTCAAGAAAAAGCAATAAAGATAAACAGGAGGATAAAGGATTATCTAATGCTTAGGCACAGAACAGCATCAATAATAAAAAACAGACACTGAAGTGGATATAGAGAGCAATAAATTCCAACTAAAAAAAAAAACCCAAAAAACAAAAAACTTGCTAAAGTTAAAGGCAGCCAAGGACAGCCTACAGTTCACCACTAGATGTATACAATCAGAGGGAGAGTAATTTCTGGGGTATGTACCACTTCATGGGGATTATTAATTAGACCAAGGTTTCCCACACAAATTATAAAATGGAAGTGTTAAAACTCTCTACCTTCTTTCAGAGACCACTGAGAAAAAGGAAGAGAAGAGAATGGAGGGATAAAAATAAGGGAAGGGAGTACAGACAGCTATTAAAGAACGCATAACTCTTTAAAGAAGGTTTGTCTTACAAGGTGTTTTGGAAAAGTAATTTAGTTTAGAAATCATAATTAAATATAGTCAATTGGATTCTGTAAGAGATAATGGCTTTATGTATGTGGAAAGTCTGGATGTAATATTTAAATATCCAGGGATGAAGCCTGGGCATATTTCAAAGTACATACAAATCCAAGCTTCATTCTTGGATATTTCAATTCAGCAGGCCTGGATGCAAAGATTTAACAGCAAGCGTACTGTTAAAGTGCCATGAGGGTTTGTCAAAGGCTGATGATAACTGATTCAAGGGGAATATGAAAACCTATACAGAATGTTTATAAAAATCATTTTTCCTATACTAGTATGAATTTTGTTTACGTTACTTGATATCACAGGCATACCTAGGAGATATTGCAGATTTGGTTCCGGACCACTATAATTAAGCAAATACCACAATGAAGCAAGTCAAATAACTTTTTGGCGTCCCAGTGGATACAAAAAGTTATGTTGACACTACACTGTAGTCTATAAAGTGTGCAACAGCATTATATCTAAAAAAACAATGTCCATACTTTAATTAAAAAATACTTTATTGGGGCGCCTGGGTGGCGCAGTCGGTTAAGCTCCGACTTCAGCCAGGTCACGATCTCGCGGTCCGTGAGTTCGAGTCCCGCGTCAGGCTCTGGGCTGATGGCTCAGAGCCTGGAGCCTGTTTCCGATTCTGTGTCTCCCTCTCTCTCTGCCCCTCCCCTGTTCATGCTCTGTCTCTCTCTGTCCCAAAAATAAATAAACGTTGAAAAAAAATTAAAAAAAAAAATACTTTATTGTTAGGATGGCTCAGTTGGTTGAGCATCGAACTTTGGCTCAGGTCATGATCTCACAGTTTGTGGGTTTAAGCCCTATGGCAGGCTCTGGCTGACAGCTCAGAGCCTGGAGACTGCTTCAGATTCTGTGTCTCCCTCTCTCTCTTCCTCTCCCCCACTCATACACTGTCTCTTAAAAATAAACATTAAAAAATATTTTATTACTAAAAGTGCTAACCATCATCTGAGCCTTCAGTGAGTTGTAATCACAAATCATTTTAACAAATATAGTAATAATGAAAAAGCTTGAAATATTGGGAGAATTACCAAAATGTGATACAAACATGAGCAAATGCTGTTGGAAAAATGATGCCAATATATTTGACACAAGGTTGGCCACAAACCTACAACTTGTAAAATTGCAGTATCTGCAAAGTGCAATAAAACGAGGTATTCCTGTACTTCAGATTATTTCTCTTTATGTTCCCACCTGTAGTCATATTTGTTTGCTAAACTCAACTTCTACAATCTCTGATGAAAATGCCTACTCTTTCTGGGGCTAATCCAATACCTGTTCCATGCTCAAACTTGGTTCAATCAATACACACTCAAAGTATATGCTCAACCCTGAAAGTCTTCCTGAACTCTGAACATAATACCACATATCACTGAATCATACACCACTGAATTTTAAGTGCACCATTATCTTATGGGCCATTAAGGAAAAAAAAAAAAACAAAACAAACAACCTTCACTAATTAAATTGACACAGTGTTTCTAATATACAACTTTAAGACATCTATAATTTCAGAAATACTAATATGGAATAACTGTGTTTTAGAATCAATAAATTACGGTATATGGTTTTTTAAGTTTATTTAGAGAGAAAGAGTGCAAGCGCATGGGGGGCAGGGGAGAAGGGCAGAAAGAGGAGAGACAGTAGTATATGTTTAATAGTAAAGACACTGTAATCACTTTTAAGCTCCTGTACCCGGCAATTTACAAATAACCCCATTTACCTATCCACATGAGAGGTGACATTCTAATTTCAACTGAAGAAACTAAGGCTTGGAGAAATTAAATAATCTGTCCAAAGTTAGAGAGATACTAAACAGTGGATTATGCAATCTAAATTCAGGTATGTCTGATTTAAAAATCCATGATCTCAATCCCTGAAGAAACGGTTCCCAATTTTTTGTATGTATCAGAACAATCTAGAGGACTTATTAATTAAAATATACATTGCTGGGTCTTAGTCCCACAACAGATTTTGACTGGCTCAGTTGGAGGAGAGTGCGACTCTTGATCTTAGGGTTGAGGTTCAAGCCCCATGTTGGGTATGGAGCTTACATAAATAAAACTTAAAAAAAAGAACAACTGTGCATTGTTAACAAGTTCCAAGGTAATGCTGCTGCTGCTACAAGGACCATACTTTAAGAACCATTACCCCAAAGTGGTTTGCACATTATCCCCCCCCCAAAAAAAAAAAATTTAATGATGTCTCTACTTAAAAAGTTTATACATTTTTAAATGTTCTTCTTTTCTCCCTCAATTGCATCCTGAAAGAGAGCTCTCTACACACTTAAAGCCATTGATTAATATCATTGGCAAATGGGCTGCAAGCTGGAAGTAACATTAGTGAATACAAATCAAATGAAACATATCAAGAGTACTAAAAATAAACTCGGTTTTCAGTTAATAAGAAAGTGTTAAATTCTTGGCACAATACATATTTAAATTTCCTACTTCATTTGAAAAAAAAAAAAAAGTCTTCCATGAAGAACTGGAGGAACTGATCTATAAAATGCCAAAAACGATTCTTTTGGCAGGATTAAAAGGAGATATTGACTCAATGGGCACACCACCAAATGAAACACTCCAAGAATTTTAATAGGAAAGAAGACTGGCTGTTTTCTTCTTCAGAGAGCAATGAACATATTTTACCATGAATATGCATGCACAGTGCTGACTATGTCTGACACACAATTTATTCACGACCATTAAATATAAAGCAGCTCTCCTTTTTTTCACTGACAAATTTACTCTTTGAAATAAAAGGGTCCTCAAGACATAGTATAGAAGGCAAGTTGATGCATGCTTTTTAGGACCCAAGCAGGGCTCAGAAGTTGTAGGCAGTGACATAGAAAGACTTAAACCTACACAAGAGGGTTATTACATGTCTGTATAGGGGACTGTTGCACATCCAACCTCTCACCATCTTAAGAAGTGATGCCAACAAGGACAACTCTAAATTCAGGAGCAAAAGTTGGTGGTGGGGGTGGAGGGTGTAGCAGGAGAGAAAATGACCTGAGACAGCCAACTAGAGTACTGAATCTCCTATTCCACACTCCAATGATCTCCAACAGACTTCCACTCTCCAGCTAGAGGTTATGGTTTTTGAAAAACAGTTTGTAAGAATTACTTGAAACTTTTCTCCAAAGAATATTTGTTATCTTCTGCCAAGTACTTTGGGGCACAACTCATCCAGGACCATCTTAATCCATATTTAAGACTATATATTCCTTGAACAAAGAGAGTAACACCAAAAGGGCTGGAGAACCTGGGAGGGGCAGATCATATCCAGTTCACAACTGCCCTTGGTAGGCTAATTTAGACCATCTTTTCTCCAAAAGACAACTTAAAAAGTTGGAGAGCTATATAAAGAAAGAGTCTTCTTTCAAAGAAGCTAAAAAGATAAGTAAGCTACAATCAAGGAGAAAGTGGGAACTCAGAAACATAAGCCTAGCACTGGAAGGCTTATATAATAACCCTTTGAGGTATCTGTATAAAGAGAGTGGAGGGGAATTTAAGCAGATTTCCCACTCTCCATTGCAGGTAGGCTTTGGGTTTTATTACAGACCTCCTTGCTCCACAAGACCACAAAAACTGTGTCTTAATCTTACAAATTCTTGATTAGCAAATGTCTTCAGGTCAAAAGTGGCTTCCAGTGCTAGGCTTGTGTCTGACTTCCCACTTTCTCCTCGATTTTAACCTACCTACCTTTTTTTTTAGCTTCTTTGAGAGAAGAATCTTTCTTAATATAGCTCTCTAACTTTTTAAGTTGTCTTTTGGAGGAAAAAAAATGGTCTAAATAACCTAGCCTACCAATACTTGAAGCGAAACACTAAATGTTATTTCTTCTTGTAATTTCATAAATTAGGTCATTCTAAGGGCAGTAACTTTATAGGACACTAAAAAATGCAAAACAATTATAATCACCACTGGCAGACTGACTACTTTTGGAGATTGATCTCAATGTGAGAGAATAATATACAACACACTGAACTTGTCTATATGAAACATCATTATATTATGATCATAAGATTTCTTATGTAATAAAATACAAGAATACACATGGAACTATGCCTCAGTACACAGAGGCCAGAAATAAAGTCATAAATAACACCTTCTCTAGTTCTTAATAATACACAAGTAGCTGAAATCCGATAAATTTGGACTATGTATGTATCTTTGTTAAAAGGGATCTCTTAGAAAATCATTGTAAAGTACTGTGCAATTCCAGAAAACTGAATCATTAGGACTAGCTTTGTTGTTGTTGTTTTTATTT